AATATCATTATATGCTGAAACATTAAGATTTGTACTCATGGAAATTACTAAAGAAGTCAAACCTGTTCATTGGAAGCGGGTGTCCCAATAATTTTGGCAATATAGTGTATATTTTGGAATGCCAATTGTAACTTTCTGCAACTATATAAGTAGAAACAAACACATTAAAAATGTATCTCATTTTTCTGTGCATTTAAGGTTTTTGGAAGCCTTGGGGCCAATGGTGGGTTTAATTTCACAAGAAATTGAGTCGAAAACTGCCATCATCCGGGACCTGGCCCAAAAAGCGGAGAAAGAGCCACTGAAGAAAATTAAGGAAAGAAAAAGAACGCACCAGCAAAGCGACCCAGTCTTAATGATATCTCATAACAGCTCGTCAGATTACTCTGAAATGAATCACAGACTCTCATTTGGTTACACTTCTGTTCGGTCTATGATTAAATGGGAGCTGGAGAATGGTTTGGTGGACTTCCACAAGCAGACAAACTCGGGCTGCAGGACTCTGTTGCGCTTGCATCGTGCTCTGCTCTGGCTGCAAAATTTCCTATTGGAACTGGGGAAGGACACAACTGAAGAAGAGCATCTACGAAGCCCTTCTGACCTCTGCAAAGAGACTTACCAGCGCACACTGGCCCACCATCACACCTGGTGGGTAAGGAAAGCAGCGGAGCTGGCCTTTCTTGCTATGCCTGAACGACCTTATTTCTACCTGTTGGTGTGTGTGGAAACGCAGGCAGAAGCTGCTGTGGTGCTGAACAGGATAGTGAGAGCAATAGAAGAAGTGTATGCGAGAAATGAAGTCGCTCTACAGGAACACGGCATGCTGGACCTACCCTGAGCGTAGAAATAAAGAGAGAGAAAATCATGGGAGTGGGACCAACCTAGAGAATAGGGCACTAAATTATAAGACTGGAGCTTTGAACCCTTAAGAGAAAAGAATGAAAACTGCTGGATAAATACTTATCCATGGCTGCTTTATTTGGTCTTGCTTATATACTCAAAGAAAGATAAGTTTTCTTAAAGATTTAGTGACCAGTTTTCTTAAATTATTTGAACAAATTCATGACAACGGGAATGGGCCATTTTTATTCTTTATCTGTTTGTAAAAAAAGGTTGCCAAGTAAGAAAAAAAAATAAAACAAACATTTCACTCTTAAACTATTAAATTCACAATTACACTATTACAATTTTGTTGTTAAAACAACTAAATATACAGTATACTGTTGGTGCTAATGAATGACCACTGTCCAATACTTGAGTACCTTTTGCATAAAGAGAACACAATAAACCATCAACACACATTTTTATAGTTATTAGGCAATGGATGAAAATTATGAACTGGTAAACATGCTGTGTTCAGTTCTGTGTTCAGTTTGGAGAAATTGGAGAAAGCCACACATTGATTCTTGTGAAGATATTAGCAGTTTTCAGGTTTGAACCATAATAGTACTAGTCGATTGTGAAAGATGCATTAATGCATGCTCAGCAAATGGACAGATTAGTCCAAAGTCCTGTTTTAACAGAAGACCTTTTTTTACAATCCTTATGCTTATCAAAAGCAGTTTTATAT